CTCTTGGTTGTGGCTGAGTCTTTGTTCTTCTTTTTCCTTTGGATCTCTCTTTTTATGTTTTTGATGGCAATCTTCTCCTTCTTGGAAAGCTTCTCTCGTTTGTAATACTCTTTTCGGTCAGGTGAAGCAGAAGGACTAGGATCAGGCCAAGTGTGAGGGCAGCCATACTTGTCTTTAGTGAAATCAATATCGCTACATCGCCACCAAAGTTCCAGTGATTTGCTAAACAGCAAAGGATCGTTTTCAAAAAACTTGTACGCGCTGACATATCCTGTTGAGGCATTTATGTAAGTCAATCCAGCATTTGAGTTTTGATATGTTCCCGCATCAAAATAATATGCAGATAAGAAAAAGTCTTCAGTACCAGATGAAAGCCACATTGCCTCGTTGCTGCCATCGATGAACGCACGGAAGCAGCCTTCAAGGTAGGTAAGATCAGAGCCAGTGGCGGCCATTGTCACCAAGAACACCGCTCCTGCAGAACTAGGGACGTGTGCCATCTTCAAGAACTCAAGCGCCGATAAGGAAACATTTTCCCTTTTATAGAGCTTCAGTCTTGCTGTTGGTGGCAGTACAAGGTCGCCTAAAACAACGGGGTAATTTTCCACGCCACGAATGATGTACCAGAATTGCCGACGGCATGGATTCGTGGCAGTGACACGAAATGATTTGCCAAAAGGGATTCGGAAGGTGTTGTACATTCCACCTCCTTTGGCGCTGTGCCCAAACCATTTGGTTCCCCAAGGAACATTTGATAGGTCATCAGTCTCTTTAAATCCTGTGGCATGAGCCGTGAAGAGTTGGAAATCTAAACTTGCTTTTTTTTCGTCGTCAATATAGAATCTCATTCTCATGCTTCGATTCCTACATTCTAAGCCCGCAAACCATTGCTCTGTGATCACACCAGGTTGGCCTGTGTTATGCTCGTACAGTGTTTTCTCCTGTTTAGGATGAAGGAAACCGTTTTTTATGGCATAAGAGAACGATTTCATATTAGGCTCAACATGTACCAGCGATACTGCTTCTTGGAGGAATGCAATGATTACTATATGCGCCGCAATCATGATGCTGTTAGTGGCCGGTCGTCCCTGGAAAAAATATGTAAAACGTGCGTTTGTTTCTTTCATGTGTATACTCTGGGATCTATGACCCGGGAAATCGTAATTCACTTTTCCTTTCAACGGACCTGGGGCCCGTTTCGCGAAAGTCCCGTTAACTTTTCGGGCCCGAAATCAAATATTCAAATCGAAATATAAAGAATAAGAGCGTGGGTCCTGGCTAGCAAACTACTGCATTTTGTTTCGTTAACTGATAGTTTTATCATGTTAGATGCAAAACTATTGAAACCTCGATCTTTAATGGAAACCGAGACAGCTTACCGGGCCAGTTAATTATCGGGACTGTCGAGAAACGGGCCCCTGGCCCGCAGACTAACTCAATGAACGGCCCCAGACTACCTTTCAGGACCCTATCACAGACCAGTCCCTTGAGTCGATCGTTTGATACAGCTTTTCATATGATTATTACCGGAGAGGTTTGAGGGTTCGAGGGCCACGGCTAGGCGGGCAGAGTGAGTACTTATCGATCATGACCCTGCTCCCACAAAACCGTACAATTATGAGGGATGATATCCCGTATCATCCTGTATCATCAGAGGAAGCCCTAGCTCGAAATATGAGCATCGGCGAACATCGGCATTGTTGCGGAACATTCGAAATATAAGGATTTGTATGGGGAAAAACCTATCGTTTCTGTAACCTACGAAAATGAAAGGATTTCAATAAAAAAAGTTTACCTTACATAAAATGTGAGTTACATCCGCTGTGTGGTCCAAGGGCCGATTTATGGCCGTTTTATGGGTTGTACTGTAAGAGAGAAAAAACCGTTTACAATACAAACCATAAAACGGCCATAAATCGGCCCACACGGGAGAGAGGTAACACACAGTTTTTGTAATGTAAACTGTTTTTTTAAAAATTGAAATCCTTTCATTTTATGAAATATGAGTATGAATGCAATTCTGTGTTTAAATCACAGTATCTTGTTAATCAAATTTTCTTGTTTGACTGGTTTCTGTTAAAAATGACCGTTCGTGTGGTCGTTGAGGTCATGTTTCATTGCAGTGCCTCAACGCCACGTGAATCAAATACCCAGTTGTAAGACATTTAAAATCATTTTTGTTTGACTGCATGATTCCCCTGCTGTTTTTCCGAAATGAAAGTTCGTCGCGTGTACATGAAGATGTTGCATTGTAGTAATGTCACGTCACAATGTCATTTTTAACCTGTTACAAGGAGACAACGGTTTTTAAATTTATTTTCTTTTCTACGTAGGCGTTAAAAACTTGTGCAATTACTTGTGACGCTTGAAAAGGCTTGATGTTTGTTGAAATAAACTCCTGTGTTTGTCAATATCAAGTTAACTTCTTCGTAGGGGGCAACACAATTACTGGTGACCAAGTAGTTCCCATTATGGAAAACAAATAAGAAGCTATGGAGACATATTACAAATTCAATATGACAAGTAAGAGTCTCAATAAGGCCAGTAGCCAAACAGGCTGGCTATTTAGAAGCAGGAACAAAAGGTTGAACTAGGGCCTTCTGAGAACAATCCCACGGCCACAACGGGATTTGAGCCTGGAATGAGCGACAGTAAAATCTAGTGCCCGGCCTTACCGCCTTATCTCGTATGTTTTTCAATTTCTCTCATGTTTCTTGATCCTATCACCTGCTTCACGGTTAGGTTAAAATTAAAAACAATTGTCACTGTCGGTTTTTCACTAGAACAAAAAACTAACACTAACTGCTGTGCAGTTCTTCTTTATTTTTTTCGAGATTTAATTCTAAATTTAACTGGGTTCTCTTCCCGAGAAGAGTTGTTTTTTAGTGAAAAATTAGCTGTGAAGTTATTGTTAAATACATTAGTGTAAGTTCACAGAAATGTCTTAAATATAAAACTCAGTATACAAACATGACAGTTACTCACGCCAGTGCGACCGTATAGGCAGTGCTGTTAAACCGTGTCTTGCTCTAATCAACTCTCCTGTTCCAAAACCATCACGGTGATCATATCAGAGTTTACATGATTTTATACCTTCGTGGCCACCAGCAAATTAACGATTTATTTATATAAAAAGACGTATAGGGGTGATGTGTCCTAATCCCAACGGGTGCTCCCTTATATGGCCTATACGGGGATGTGCCGATGGACAGGGTATGGTTTTTGGCCTCTCTGCATGTCTTAAACAGGGTATATAATTTCGTGTAGTCAGTCCTTCCTCCCCGAAAAACTTTCACTCTACCCCTGGCGGGAGGGAAGTAACACTATTACCCTGGCCTTTGATTTAGTTTTTTCTGCAATTTACAGGCCTCTTTAGATGTCGTAACTGATACATCAGTCAAGTTATTTAACGTCAGTATACAGGTATATAATTAAAATAGATGTATTTTTTTAAAATTGCAGTTTGCCTTTCTTTCGTGTATATGATTGCCGTAGGAATTCATATATGTTTTCCATAGAAGCTGTATAGGAAAGTTAAAGAGTAACGTTTCACAGCCTTAAGCGTCTTTTCACCTGCTAACGTCCGGTTAAATTTTAATCTTTCAATTGAAGTAATATTCAGAGTGAACGTATGGATTGTGGAGGTAGTCGTGGTCGCCGTATGTTGTTTGAGCAATCTTTGACAGTTCTACCCTGTCTACCTAAAATCACTTTAGAAGTGTGGGCTTTCCCTCCGAAAACTAAAGAGGGAGAGGAAACTACCACATATAAAATCCTTTCGGTTTAACGTGTCTTAAAGTTTTAAGCACAATCTTAAAACAATCTTAAAAATTCTTCTAAAATGGATTTTGTGACCTTGGAAATCTGGTTGTCCCTGAATATTAGAACTACCTTATTAAAGTCAATTAACGCTCCATGAAATTAACGCGAATCGTTAAAATTCGCGTTAATTTAAGTCGCGTTAATTTTGTTGACCGTTAATTTCCGCGACGTTAATTAAGTACAGCGTTAATTTCCGCGCTCTTAATTTCCAGTATTTTAACCCCAATTCTGGAACCTGTCCAGACATTCTTGACAGCTAAAAAACATTAACTACAAGCTTTCTTTCCATTTACCCTTTATTTTTCATCTTTCACAAAAGCTAAGGCGAAGGTTTACAATATTTCGAGTCCATCTTCATCGTTGTCGCTGTTAGAAGTGATGTCAAAATCTTCTCCATTGATTTCGGCCACCAACTGTGTCTTAATCGCGTTAATTTTTCTTTATTATGAAATTCTACCTTCTCTTTCGCGTTAATTTTCTTTATTCGAAACTCGTTTTCCATGAAATTCGCGTTAATTTAAGTCGCGTTAATTTCCAGTACCTTAATTTCATGGAGCGTTAATTTCCTATAATAAGGTAACCGAGCAGCAAGAGGAACTCGGCCCTTACACATACTCAGTTATATAAACCTTTTAGTGCCCATGAGTCATCACAAGATATAACTATTTATTTTAGTGAGAAATCACGATACATGATGAAGTTATAAATGTTTTAGTATATACACTTGACGCCTCACTTTTTAAACAGTGTCGGCTATAAAGTCACAATAGAAATCTTGCCTTGAGTCAAAATAGTCTTAATTGTAAACTCGTAAAGCTTATACTAAAGGTTTGCTACTGAGTAAAATCGCAGAAAAACCCTGCAAAGATATATATATTATTCACTGCCTGGGAGGTCACCCAAAGCTTACACACAGATACCCAGAAAGACGTATTCATGCGACAACCAATAACTTTCCGAGAAGCTGAGAACCTTCGCTCGCCTGACTCAAAGTATCCCAGGGTGGTGACGCCCTCACCCGCATGCAACTGCAATTAGATACCATAGTGTCTACAATGACAAAAGGACTCTCTAAGCCGGAAGCTACAGTCTCCACCTACCAGTTCTCGCCCCAGCACACTACGGCCCTAGACAACAAAGTAACTCACCTTGAAGGAAAGATCGATCAACTAAAGAAAATGGTTGGAAATCGTCCACAAGAATATACAGGGCCTAAAATTGCTGCTTTCCAAACAATCGCCACACACTCGGCAGATGAAGAACTGAGGTACTTACAAAAACAAGTTCGTCAGTTAAGGGGCATAAATTGAGAAGAACATTGTAATGCTATTGCAGCCTATCAGCCTTCTACAAGAGGACATAACCGCTTTAATAGCGAATCAGAAGAACTGCAGCACCTTAAAGAAGAAATCAGACTTCTAAAACTTGCCCAGCGTGGTCCGCAACAACAACAACCACAGCAATTCCAGAACCGCTTGAATTACGGTAGCCAAGATGCCTTTCAAGAAAGAATGATGAATGAAATACGTCGAATGCAAGCTCGCGTAGACGGGTTCGTGAAAGTCCATGCAAATAGCCTGCAGTGCAGGCGTTTTCTCTGAGCGCTCAATTTGCTCGCGAAAGCGACATGTTGAAACTTCCCGAAGAGACAAGAACAACCGAGAGTGCGGACCCGGGAGGGGCGCCCGGTTTGTGACATCTGTGGTCGAGTGGGTCACGTGAGACAGAACTGTTATGCTAGAATTAACCGACGGAATCAATATCAAATCCTCAAAACACTCAGTCACGCCCACAGTCAGGCCCAAGAATTGCTGCTTTAGAAGCCGAAGGTACCGCAGAACCATCCTCGGAGACCCAGGGGCAGTCAGTGGACCCGGGAGAAAAGACGCGACGAAAGGATAGCGCTATCCAACGTTTTAACAACCGGGGCCAGGAATACAGCCCTGTGGCAAGACAAAATGACGTAAGCAAGCTTCCCCATTATTATAGTGCTTTCATGCACAGGTGCAAGAAGACCAGTCGCTTCTTTCTCAAATTCTTCATCATCCTTTTGCTGATGTCACCCCATGGACATGTCAACTCACAAATCAAGCGAGAGTCAGCAACCGTCTTACTCGAAGAAAGCAAATTAGTCAGTGATCCTGAGTTTACCACGTCAATTCTTTCACCTGAACATTTTGAAAGTAAGTCACCCAGTCGCGTCCAAGCAAATTACCACCTTCGTCTACAGTTCTTATTTCTTCTCATTCCAGTTCGCCTGAAAGACTCCAGCATCATCATAGGACAATCCCTCAAACTATCAGAAAAAGCAACTGCAATTTATGAACATCAAGAACAAAGGAACATTCCACACCCAGATCCGTGATAGCCAATACTACAAATATCAAGACGAAATAACCACCAGTAGACAACAGAGTTAATCAGATAATTACCCGTTTACAATTTTACCTTCTGAATAATGTGTATAAGTCCCCCGCACGAATCTACCACTAGTTATTTCCATTAGTTATCCAGATCGAAGCAAAGCACTAAACAGTCCATCGCAAATATTTGCCACCCATTTTATTTCAATACCATTGCTCCATAAGCTTCCATAAGTAGGATTTTCCCACCGGTTTTCTTGGGTTTTCGAAAGCCAGGAGGCTTTCAATTAAAGGAGGGGAGTGTCACAGCCGATATTTCAGTGTTATCTTTAGAACGGAACTCAGTTTTATCAGAATGAACATTTCAGCATTTCTAATATGATTTCCAAGCGATGACTCTAAAATCGCAGAAAAACCCTGCAAAGATAAATGGTTATTCAGCCGTGTTAAAATTTGTTTTACTTATAGATTCATGAGCAGTGAGAAGTTCCGATCGAAAGCTGCTTAAACATTTCTTTCTTGAAGTTTCCGTCCCTAACGAACTTAGTGTGAACACAAACTAGAATCAGGATATTAGTAATATTTAGCACAATAATCTAGAGCAATTAAAGTGTTCTCACCTGCTTTATTGACCATCCTTTGTACGAGCTCGTTTTTAACTAGGAGGATGTTAGTCGTTTATTCTGCTGTGAGTGTAATTTTACATGAAAGACTTGCCGAAAATAATATTGATTTGAACAGTATTAGCATAGCCTGCGTGCTTTGCTCTACGGACGAGTTACTAACGACCCCGTACCTCTGGCAATGTTTGTGACGTTGACCACGCAACCCAGCGAAGTGTTCTACCGAGCTTTAGTCCCATTCTGTCCTTCAGTTTTTTGAATCGTTCTGTCTATTATCCTTCTATTTACCCAGCGCAACGCAGCGCATTTTGTGAGAATCAAAGACAAGGAACAACCTTTAAACCTAATGTCACAAATTAAATGAAGGATGATCAACGCAGTTATATACGCAACTTTTGCAGTTGCGAAAAGAAAGCCTGAAAAAAAATTAAAAAAAAAAATTACTGGATTCGAACCCTTGATCTCTGCGTAGCGATACCGGTGCAGCGCTCTACCAATGAATGTTTTTTTTCAGGCTTTCTTTACGCAACTGCAAAAGTTGCGTATATAACTGCGATGATCAGCATCCTTCATTTAATAAATCACGACACAGTTACAGCTTGCTTTCACTGATTCCTTCTGCTTTCAGTTCGAGTTACACACTGAGGCGAGTGTAGTTTCGTTCTTCTTTCTCCCTTTCTGTCTCTTTACCTTGTCTTGATTTTCTTACTCAGATTGAGAGCGCCTTTTTCATTTACTTTCTTTTGCTTAATGCATTTCCTTAATGCTAATGCCATTAAAGATTCACTTTAAAGTCTTATCTATATATGATTGACGTCGTTGTTCTTTTCTATATGTCTTCAGTCAGTCCGAGCCGTGACAGCTAAGTACAAGAGGGAATTAAAATAAACTATGGCAAAGTAAAGTTCAGAGAGATGAAACTCACATCTTTGCATTTTGATGTCACTTTTAAAGTTTCTCAGGAAAGGGTAACTCATTTAAACATACTGGAACAAGATAAACAGGAAGGACAAGGTTAGCTACTTTGTCTCAGCTCTCTACGAACAGTGTTTCCTTCGATCTTTACTAAGGTCCTTTTTAAAACAGTTTAAGATGACTAAAAAGCGAACACTAACATTTACATTTCAATAGCTATGCTATTGAAATGTAAAGGTTTTAATGGCTATTTCATCAATTAAAATGACTTTTTTTTTAAATAAACATATTCTTTTCAGGGAGGAGAAGGAGCTAAGATTGCGGACAAGACGACGACACGACGGTAAATAAACTGAAAACCTAATACAAACTTTTCAAGGCACTAAAAAAACTGGATCAATTTAGGATTCTGGGAAACTGCCCACCTACCCCTCCCCTAAGCTAACACGAACATTTACTTCTCACTTAGGGCAAAGTGATGGCTTAGGGGAGGGGTAGGTGGGCAGTTTCCGGGAAACCGAAATTGATCCGAAAAATTTGGTCCTAATCTGATTGTAAAAATTCGCGCAAAGCAAAACCAAAAAAAAAAACAAACAAACAAACAAGATATTCCAGCATAGGAATCGCCGTTTTTATAACAGTTTTTTTTTTACCTTATTCCCATCTACACAAACCACCCTGGGCGGAAAACTTGTGTATGAACACAAAATAGTCTGATTTGACACGGTGGGAGAACGACTCGACACAAAGTTGTCCTCGCGAGGTTGTCCTCTTTCTTAGAAATTTTGGAAAAAGGTGTTCCATTCGCTTCTCGAAGTTGCCGAAAATTTTTGAGCGCCTCTGGTTTTCACCGAAACACCAAGGCGAGCTGCAATATCTAAAATGGTATCGATGGACATTAGATGAAAGCTGGGGTGTTCCTAAAACGAAGACCCAAAAACGAAGACCTAAGACCTAAGACTCTTCCCGTGGACTAAAACGAAGACCCTTGGACTAGAGCGAAGACCCCCTGGACTAAAACAAAGACCCCCTGAACTAAAACGAAGGCCCCTTGGACTAAAACGAAGACTCCTAGGACTAAAACGAAGACCCTTTGGACTAAACGAAGACTCCCTGGACTAAACCGAAGACCCATTGTGGATTTTAAACTCTTGCGAAAGACAACACTCGCTTCGGTAATTTGTTACGGCGATTTGAGAATGTTGTGGAATTTTCTCTGCGCTATTTAATTGTGATAGTGAAGTCTATCTCTTACCTTTTCTTGAAAAGGTGTTTCCTTGTGTCTCTTTGCAGGGTTCTTTGAACTTATTTCGAGTGTTAAATTACTTTGGATTTACGGCGATGATGACGTCAGTTTTTTATAAAAAAAATTTTTTCATTAGGTCATTCGTTGCCTTGTGGTAACGTCTTTAGATACGACGTAACTGTCCCGGGATCGAATCTTGCAGAACCGATGTATCTTTTTCTTTTTTTTTACTTTTTTATCATTGTAACAACTGTTTGAGCCGTAAAAGATGAGTCATTTTTTTAAAAAAGAGGTCAGAATAAAGTAACAGGGATATTAATTTAACCCGGCATATATACAAATGAACCTTGCTTAGAAACCCGAAATGAACACCTTTATTCGAGTGATGTTCTGGATCCACAGCTTTTTTTCTATTGATGTGGTAAAAAGTAATAAAAAGAGCGCGAGGTTACCCTCTCCTTGAATTCATCAATGTTAAATGGCTCGTTGTTCTTTCCTCCCTACGCCGGTTATTTTGTTTTGTAAATGTATTGATCGATACAATTGTTCGACATTTTAGAACGCTAGAGCACGCGGTCGATCGAAGAAAAATAAAATTAAATAGCGCAGAGGAAATTCCACAACGCTCCTAAATCGCCGTAAGAGCTTAGTCCACAGGGGTCTTCGTTTTAGTCCAGAGGGTCTTCGTTTTAGTCCATGGGGTCTTCGTTTTAGTCCAGGGGGTCTTCGTTTTAGTCCAGAGGGTCTTCGTTTTAGTCCAAGGGGTCTTCGTTCTAGTCCAGGGGATCTTCGTTTTAGTTCAAGGCTCTTCGTTTTAGTGCAAGGGGTCTTAGGTCTTGGTAGTCTGCGACACAGCCGTTTTTAGTGTCATCACGCAACGATTGCGTGACGACCCTTAAAACGGCTGTGTAGCAGACTAAGGTCTTGGGTCTTCGTTCTAGAAACACTCGGTGACGTTTACATGACCTAGTATTTGAAAATCCAAAATGGCGGCGTTTGGTGTCTGGGAAGTAAAGTTTCCTTCTTCCCGTGCTGTGTATGAGGAAGACGATGAAGAAGACAACGACGAATCTTCCGCGCTAGAAGAATATTCAAAGAATTTATCTTTTCTCTGGGCGGCTACAAAGAACTCTCAGAAGCCCATTGTAAGCGAGTGCCCTTTGCTTATTGTGGGTCTCGGAGAAGTAGCGACAACATTTTTAGAAGCACATTTCTTATCCACGGGTAGTAAAATAGTCGCTTGCATTACCACCAAAGAGGAAAACGGCATCGACTTTGGAAAGCTCTCTTCTACGTCGAAATCACCCGAATCTGTTTATCTGTATCAGTTAACCACAAGTGATCAAGATAACTCAATCATTTGCCAGTGCAGTACGCCTGTACCTGAAGAAAAAGCATTCCATTGGACAGAAAAGGTAAGAGAAGCCCGAAACGAACATTCACCATCTGCCTGGGAAGGAAGGGTGTAGTCAGTATTGTACTAGGATAAATTTGGGGTGCATTTGTAGCCTCATGAGCAGGGAAGGGGGCAAGGAGGTTGGAAACTACAGGGCTGTGCTGATAAGGCATAATTCAAAACTTTATAAAATGATCCCTTGAAAAATCCCGTGGTAAATTCAAGAGTGGAAGCAATGTAATGCAGACCTCTCAACCCCAAAAGACCAAAAACCTGGAGATCAAAGTCAAAAAACCTGGAGATTTTTATCGAAAACGTCAAAAAGAACTAAAACCAGGCGTAGGGAACACAAAAATGAAAATGGATCACTGAGAATACGTTTAACAGGATATGAACCTTCTCATTCTGTTTTGAACTTTGTCTTGAATATTCATCCTTTTGTGCCATTTTGACAATGTGGGCGAAATGTATCTAAATGCGACAAACTGGTAATAATAACCTTATTTGGCATTTGTCTTCTAAATATGGTTTTGAGGTCCATACCTTGTCAAAAAGATGATCAAATATGACAAATATCCCTCAGAACTGTGGATTTCTACAAAACTGATGCATGAAAATCAATTTTACTAGGCAAAAATGAACATATTCAAAAAATGTATTCCATCAGCTTGTGAATCTGTTTAGCGTGAGATTTTTGTGCCTCATCATGAGACTGTGAGATTTTCCTTAAAACCGTGAGACTTGAGAGGTCTGGTAATGACTGGCAGCCAGTCAGGAAATATTAAAATTTAAAACAACAAACATTCATTTACTTTTTTATCT